CCGGCTGAGGAAGGGGCTCCTCACACCCCTCAGCCATTGGAAAGGGGCTCCTCACTGCCCCTCAGTCCTCACAGCCCCCGGAGCCATGAGGAAGGGGCTCCTCACACCCCTCACCCCTCGGGAAGGAGCTCCTCAGCCCCTCACTCCCCTCAAGCCTCCTTCCCGGCTGAGGAAGGGGCTCCTCACACCCCTCAGCCATTGGGAAGGGGCTCCTCACACCCCTTAGCCATTGGGAAGGGGCTCCTCATCCCCTCATGGCTGAGGAAGGGGCTCCTCACTCCCCCCCAGCCCTCACAGCCCCCGGACCCATGAGGAAGGGGCTCCTCAGTCCCCTCACGGCTGAGGAAGGGGCTCCTCGCCCCATCGCCGCCCTGACCGCTCCCTCAGGCCCAGCCCCGATCCCCCCGGTCCCCGATCCCCTCCGGCCCGCCGGGCCCGGCCCGGTGTCCCCTCGGTCCCGGTGTCCCCGCCCCGGTCCGTACCCGATCGCCCCGCCGGCCCAGCCCGGTGTCCCGGCCCCGGCCCGGTGTCCCGGCCCCGCCCGGTGTCCCGGCCCGGTCCGTACCCGAGAGGCCGCCGGCCGCGGCCGTGCCGGGCTGGCGCAGCGCGGGCACGGCGCTCCAGGCGCAGAAGGCCGAGAGGCCGCTCAGGGCACCGAAGGACGCGTAAGCAACACGGAGCGCCAGGGCCCCGCTCAGCGCCATGGCGGCCTCGGCGCGGCCCGCCCACGGCACCGGGACACGCCCCGGGGACGGGGCCGGGGCCGGGACACGGGACCGGGACACGCCCCGGGAACGGGGACGGGACACGGCACCGGGACACGCCCCGGGGCCGGGGCCGGGGCCGGGACACGGGACCGGGACACGCCCCGGGAACGGGGACGGGGCCGGGACACGGGACACGGGACCGGGACACGCCCCGGGAACGGGGACGGGGCCGGGACACGGGACCGGGACACGCCCCGGGGACGGGACACGGGACACGGGACACGGGACACGGGACACGGCAGCGAGAAACGCCCCGGGGACGGGGATGGGAACGGGGATGGGACACGGCACTGGGACACACCCCGGGAACGGGGCCGGGGCCGGGACACGGCAGCGGGACACGCCCCGGGACCGGGACACGGGACCGGGACACGGGACCGGGACACGCCCCGGGGACGGGACACGGGACACGGCACCGGGACACGCCCCGGGGACGGGACACGGGACCGGGACACGGGACCGGGACACGCCCCGGGAACGGGGATGGGGACGGGGATGGGACACGGCACCGGGACACGCCCCGGGGACGGGGACGGGGCCGGGACACGCCCCGGGGACGGGGACGGGACACGGGACACGGGACACGGCAGCGGGACACGCCCCGGGGACGGGGATGGGGACAGGGACGGGACTCGGCACCGGGATACGCCCCGGCAACGGGAACGGGAACGGGGACGGGACACGGCACTGGGAAACGGCCCGGGAACGGGGACGGGAACGGGGCCGGGACACACCCCGGGAATGGGGACGGAGCCGGGACACGGCAGCGGGACACGCCCCGGGAACGGGGACGGGAACGGGACTCGGCACCGGGACACGCCCCGGGAACGGCGGCAGGACATGCCCCGGGAACGGGAACGGGGACGGGAAACGGCACCGGGAACGGCGGCGGGAACAGGGACGGGACACGCCCCGGGAACGGGGACGGGGACGGGGACGGGGACGGGACACACTCAGGAACGGCGGCGAGACACGGCACCGGGACACGCCCCGGGAACGGGACACACTCCGGGAACAGGACACGCTCGGGACAGGGACACGGCACCGGCACATGGCCCCGTCCACCGGGACCGGGATCCAGACCGGGACACGCCCACAGGCACTGGGACACGCCCACCGGGACCGGGACACGCCCCTGGCCCCGCCCCACACCAGCGCGCCCCCTGGCGGGCGGGAGGACCGAGGAGGGGACGCGAAGGGACGGGGACACGGCGGGGGGACACGGGGGACACCGGGGAGACACCGGGGAGACACGGGGTTGGGACAAAGAGAACACCAGGGACACGGGAAACACCGGGGAGACACCGGGGAGACACGGGGTGGGA